TCTAAATGGGCTTCTTCTCTTGGGCTATTTCTTTTCTTGAGCCATTTGAATTGAGTTGTACATTTTGTGCGTCAACAATAAGAAAATTTTTTTAGATTTATGCGTAAAATATTTTATTGTATGGACATGTGGTTAAAAATGAGAATATAAAAAAGAGTTTTAAAAGAATGAGAGAGAAATATATGTTAAGAAAAAAAAAATTATTTACGTGTAATATTATTTTGTGAGAAAGTGTGTAGTTGAAAATGAGTTTTTGAAAAAATTGGGGCAAACATAGATAATAAAGTATGGTACTGTATTCTTATTTAAATTTATTATGTTAAGATATATAAATTGTAAATGAGACAAAAACAATGGAAGAAACTAATTTGGGCTCCAATTTTCAAAAAAAATATTTTTTTCTAAATCCATTTTCAACCATATATTCTTTCATAAAATAATATTACACGTAAACACAAAATATTTCACCACACATTCTCCAAAAATTCATTATTTCAAAATACATTTATTTTCAAAACTTTATTTTAATGGAGTCCAAACAGGGGCTAAATAATACGATGAAATGACCCCATTTATAGGGCCATAGATGCTGTAAAATGAAAGATCATAAAATATTACACAATCATATTATTAAGGTAATAACATTATGTTAAAATGAAAATGCTTTCATATTTTTTAACGTATGTTAAAATGTATACAATACACACATATCATTAGTTTTCCAACATCTCTATCGTCAACATGACCATATCGATATGAAAATCAACGATAAGAAAATAATCTTGTTATCCATTATCACCCGTGAATTATTGCATATTCACTAGTAGCTTGCCAATCGAGTTGCATTAATATATTCTTGTGGATTATGAGCAGGTAAAGCAGGGAATACTGTTCCAAACAATCGACACATATTGAGTAGTAAACCTTCCTTGTACTCTAATCCAGATATACAAGGAAGATTAAAGCTTCTCGCCAGCTTCCACAAGGCATCCATCCTCCTCATTACAATTGACTTAATGTCGCAATAGTTCTTTTCATATAAAATTCTTCACTGACATCCGTATCATATAAAGAAATCAATAAACCAGCTTGAATTGTTGTAAAGCGTGATTTTATCTTATCTCTTTTAAAAAATATAAAGATAGCAAGTCACGTCCAAATCCAAAAATCAAAGTGGCCCGTTTCGGACCTCTCTGTAACCGAGTTGGGTATGACTGATGAAATTGACACCACTAAAAAGAAAGAAGGTCGTTCTCCTTTCTTTCATAAAAGCAATCGATGTAGAGACATGTCCCGAAGTGCTCATACATTAGCCAGAGTTATCATAAGGTAGCTGTTGGGATTTTGGAGGCTATCTT